GTAAAAGTGCAACGGTGGCGAGTCACAAAACGAGCTTGCGATGGAACACACCGGATTAGAACTGGTCCTCCTAGCTGTCAGAAGGCTGCACAGTTTTAGTGAGAGCAGCGTCGGTCCTGTCTTGCATTCCTGTAGCCTTTTGGCGTACTGCTTTAAACGCCAGGCCGCAGGGTGGCCCGGCGCAAGCGGTGCAGTGCTAAAAGACTGCAGGAAAGCACAGCATCCCTCGCCGCGTCCGCTGGCGAGGGATGACTGCAGTGCTTTCAATCTCCGACGTAAAGTATATATATTTCCAACGTTCATGAAATGAAAGGAAGCTGCGTTCTTGTATTTTTGCTGAAGTTAAGAACCCGCTTAGCTACACCGCGACGGTAGAATAAATGAATGACCGCGTACTTTCCGCAGCGTTTCACTTAATGAGCATACAAACAAGCGGGTTTGGCCTTTTGAAGTTTGTTGCTTAGCGTGTATTAATCATGCACTAGCTGAAAAAAAAAAAAATGAAACGCGTAGTCGCTCCACTCTGTATATCTAATAGCTCGCCGTGGGCGCTTTTCTCAGCGGGAGGTCTTTTATTGCCGAATCCACTCACGTGTGGCATTACTGTGCAAAACTACGATCATTTAGAACTCAGTAATGCGAACACGATTTACCGCGCCACTCAACGGGCCTTTACGGCGGTGTTCTGAAGCTGTTTGTATTCATCTATATATACTGAGGCCCGTGTGTTAGGCAATGTTCGAGAATGCAAATGTACAAGCACATGTGCGAGAAACGCCTGCGGCTTGTGCCTCTTTACCAGCCAGAAAGATAGTTTTTAACACCCCACAGAGAGGTTGACAGACAAATCACAGCATATCCACGGAGAGCATGATGATAAGTGGGGCGAAGCGTCCGTCCGTTCGTTCTTGCTTCCATCCGTCCGTGCGTCCGTCTGTGCGACCATCCGTCAGTGCGTCCGTTCGTGCATCTGTCTGTGTGTCCGTCCATCTGTGGATCCATCCGTGCGTCCGTCCCTGCGTCCGTCCATCCGCCCGTCCGTCCGTCCGTGCGTCCGTTCATTCATGCGTCCATCCGTTCGTCCGTCCGTCCGTCCGTGCGTCCGTTCATTCACGCGTCCATCCGTCCGTCCGTTCATCTATACGTCCGTCCGTCCGTGCATCTAGTGAACACTCCAAGTAGCGCCATCTCGCATGTTTTCATCATATATTCAGCATATAGTAGTACCGCAATTCGGTGGAAATTCCAAGGACTAAACGAGAGGTGGCACTCGCACACTTCCTTACGGCCTGCGCTTCGTGTTTACTTCCCCCGTTTCACCGCCTCTAGTTCATGACTATATACTAGTTCACTATAGACGGTTTCAAGGCTGCAAGCGTTGTACCCCAAAAACTTCCGGTCAGCTCATTTACCAGCTCCTAATGTCGAACTAAAATCATGTTTTCAAGTTTCTTTCGAGTATAAGGAAAGTCTTTCTTTACTTTTTCAAATAAAAGAAACGTGCGTAAAGATCAAAAGAATCTCTTATCATTTTATGTAGCACGAAAGAGCATTTATTTTAATAAATTTTGCGAAACAAGGGAAAGAAAGTGTAGAAATAAGCGGGCTATTTTCGTAAACTCTTCTTGCCCACCGATGCTTTTAGGCACATCGGCGGACGAAACCGGATGTCATCAAGAGTGTGTGTACAGTGAAGGGGTCTATATTCATGGTACTGAGGCCCAGCCCCTCGATAAACCTTGCTAAAACCAAGGAGGGTATACGCCCAGCGAGTTTAACGTGGCAACCCTTTCTGGTCAGATAGTGTTCAAAGTGCGTCCTTTTGATACTAGTTTTTTTTAGTAAGCATCAAATACAAGGCATATTTTGTTGGAGATTAAGTCACCAATACTTGTCTCTGTAATTTATTTCATCAGAAACAACTATCTTTTTATTTATCATTAACCTGCGTGGTTTTCCTTCTCAATTGAAAAGGGTGCGCGCGTGCCGCTCCTCTAGGACTGCCGGGGAGGTGGCTGCCTACTACTGCTACTACTACTACTACTACTACTACTACTGCTACTACTACTACTACTACTACTACTACTACTACTACTACTACTACTACTACTACTACTACTACTACTACTGTTTAGAAAAAGTTTATTTACACTATGTACAAAAAACAAAGGTTTAATTGATAACGTTATAGTAATAGGGCACATGCACTTCGGCACATTTATGTACTACGACAAACATCACTACGTTGCAATGAAGACATCATAGCTCTAATATATATGACAATGTTGGCGTACGCGTACACAAGAACTCATGCAATAACATGATACAATGAATTGTATAGTGATACAATAGATCCAATGAAGCACAATTGGTTACAAACCAAATCATGAATGGATACTGAATGGGCGCTGCTTAGCACGAAGTCGGTCGAAAAATGAGTTATACACTTTCGTGTTCAGGATTTACGAAAAGGCACGACCAATGCCGCAGAAAATCGTGCTCTGCGAGGAAGAAGAGCTCCTCCAAAAAGAACGTGAGGATCTCTCGTCTCATTCGGCACAGTATCGGCCACAACGCACGCCGGCGGCAGTTCGCAGCCACGGCCTGGCATCGGTTTCGCCAAAGGCTGAACAGCCCCGCAACTATTAAAAGAGCCGAGAAGCGCCCACGCGGAAATCGGCCGTTGGACACGAATGTTCGCATACCCTGCCCGAAAACCGGCATGAACCGCACGCCAAAAAAAGGCGGGAGACCACACATTCAATTGTCACATGTCGATTGGTCTCGACCATGACGCAATTCAGGCAAGTGGAAGTGCGAACCACCTGCCATCGCTGCAACCGATCTCGAGTGGGGAGCAAGCCCCAGCCCAACCACCAGGTAAAGTCCCGGCGATGTCCTGGCAACACTGCTGCAGTTATTGGTTTCCAAGGGTGGTTCATTATAGATTGACGATGCTGGGGCACCAAGGGCTGTAGCAGGGCGGCCATTGTGTCCACCATTTTAGATTCGGTCACCTCTATCTCTGCACGCAGCCTGCAACCGTCGGTCGGTGAAATACCAGAAGGGCTTGATACAAAAATGGTAGTTCAGTTGATTGGGGACCTTAGTTAATTTGGCTAGCCGGCAGGAAGACGTGTAGTGATGGCCCCAGATGGTTGCGAGCCAGTGTCTGAGCTGGTGTACTATCGTTGCTCAGTATTCGCAGTAAAGTGCGGAGGTATAAGGTATAGAAGCCGTGACGGAAACGTCGGGGAATGCAAAACCACCTCGATCTCGTGGTTGAGCTAACGCCGGACGAGATAATTCTGTGCCACCAGACAAAAAAAAAATGATCTGATGCAGCTTTGCACTTTCTTGGAGACGTAGAGCGGTGGTTTTACAGAATGGCAAAGGCACAAATATTTTCCGAGGTAAACCGTTTGAGCGAAGTATCGGCATTCCAAGAGGGGGAAATCGAAGTGCCTGGCTTCTTTTACTTCACTTTGAAGAGTTCGTACAACGAATGACCAGATGCTGTCCTGTACACCAAATGCAGTGAAAGTAAGGCCTATAGTATTGTAATGCTATGAAACCACTGTAAAGGCGACGTGATGTTGTACGACCGTAGGGGTTGCCAATAAAGAAATACTGGCTTTTAGAAAAGTTTAACCTTGCACCGGAGATAATGCCGAAATGATTGAAAGTATCAAGAGCATGCTGCAGCGGCTGTTCATTGTGAACATATAGAGTAATATCATCTGCATGTGCAGTCACCTTTACTTGAGTGTTACCAGGTAGGGGTAAGCCTCGAATGTGCGGGTCACGTTCAACGGCCCTAAAAGAAGGGCTCTAATGCCAGGTTGAATAGAACAGGGAAGAGGGGACACCCTTGACGAACCCCACGCGTTACTTGAAAGGGGTGACTCTCACAGGAATCTTTGTAAAGTGTAGCTCTCTGAATTAGTGTGGGTCCATCGCGTGAATTAATTTGGTCAATGAACTTATCCGGGAACATACATTGCGGACCCATGGCCCACAGCTTAGGGAGCTTCGCCCCCAAAAGCCTTGGTAACGTGATAAACGGTGTAAGTACATGTTACAACTTAAATGCCGAGATACATTTAGTGGCGCACCCTGACGTAGCCAGATGCGGGGTTTGGAGAGTTCAACCGGGCACTCCCATTAAATTTTTTTTTTACAGTTTGCGTCATTTTATGAGATAGAGGGCAAAGTATTGTCGTTGGTTGGTTCGAAATATTCCTGAGAGCTTCGAAATGCGCTGACCAAGATGCAATTATTGTTACTACCTTTACGGAATCTAGGATGCAGCCTTGTGAATTAGTCATCGAGATTCACTGTAAACAAGACTTCCTTGTAAGAGCCGAAACGTCTCTAAATATATCTTCACTTTGGTTAGCGTCTTCCAAGTTTCTACCAAATTGTATACTGCTGTATTGTGTGTCACATTTTTTGTCTCATGTTTCACCATTCTCTATTCTTTTATTTTCTGTTTCTAATATGCAAAGAGCAGTACACCTGGCGCTACTTATTACTAATGATGGTCTAGTTCACCTTTAAGAATGGACACACACACACACACACACACACACACACACACACACACACACACACACACACACACACACACACACACACACACACACACACACACACACACACACACACACACGCGCGCGCGCGCGCACACACACACAAACACACACACGCACACACACACACGCACACACGCACACACACACACACTCACTCATGCACGCACGCACGCACGCACGCACGCACTGGTTTCGCACTGAAGCTCAAGCTTCAACAGCTCCACTCTTACAAAAGGTAGCTGTCGCGCAGCGCGTTTATAAGATGCGTGCAGCACAGCTGCAGCGATCACCTACACCTCTCAAGGTCTGCGGTTGTTTGTGCAGTGCGCTTGGCGTGTGTCATGAGCGCCCCCTGTGTTACTCATATACTGAACTGACGCTCTTGCCGCTTATTGTTTTTCGCAGGGAGACACGACGGACGAGTCCGATGGTGGAGGACGGGTGAGTCTTTCCGGTCATCTGACGCTGGCGTGTGCATGAGTTTTTAACAACAGCACATTTTGCCGCTCGCTGGGGTGAATGAGATAACTTCTCCTGTTATTTCACGCAACTATTACGGGCCTCTGTTTGCGAAGTTTTTATTTGCAAGAGCTTTTCCGTTATTTTCCTTGTCTGCGTACGAAGTGTTTATGGACGCACGCCCACACTTTACTATACGACAGGCTAAGGGTGGTCAAGCGGTTAATTGCGTTACTTATACGCAATTATCCGCTTGCTTCAGTGACATAGAAGGTTAAAATATTGTAAACGAAAGCTGAGGAATTATTGGCGGAGCACATGAGATAGGCGTACAGAAAAGGAACAGCATGTTATTAAGCTGCAGCTTGGTAAGTGGCCACGCGTATCTAAGTCATGCAGCACACATGGAAGTAACAATTGCCAGGCTATATATAGCAACAGAACACCCTCTCTGTACAAACTCATCCTCTCTGTTCGGTGGGGCCTTTGTGTGATAGATGTGCTTGAACAACTCACAGTGCTTCGTATTTTAATACGACGTAGTGAATTGGATGTCAGTAGAAGAAAACAATTCCGACATCAGATATTATTGCATTCAACGACTTTCATAGGTATACGGAACCGCTTTTTAAATAGGAATGATTGGTCGCGCTTTCGAAGGATGTAAATAGTATTCGCATCATATTTTCAGGTAACCCGTAGCGTGACCTTTGAGTAGAGGTTGCTGCTGTGGTGGCACTAAAAATAGCATCTGCCTCGCGGCCTTTGGCCACACGGGCGGTTGACGAGGCATCTACGCTGTTGACATTGCTCCATCGTTTCGTTACCGTGACCAGGAGTCGTTGATTCTTACTGCGCACATGTCACGTCGCTCTCATGATTTTACTATTTATATGCTTTACACGCCTTTAGCACGAGGAACATCATATATAACCAACGCGGCCCCAGACTTTGGTATGCGGCACGTCAAGGGCCGTCAAGCCGTCGATCACGTGGCTTTAGGGACAGAAGATGGGCGTGGTGCGGAATGACATAGAGAACGTATAATAAACCTCACTGGCTTCACAAAGAATTTTCGATGTAACAATATAAGCATTATACAATAGCAAAGTACCTTGTCCAAACTTTTTTTAACTTCTCTGAATGCGTACCTTTTCTATATTTTGCGATATAATTGATCAACGTGAATTCCTAACTATTCCTTTGTTTTTTTTTTAATACAATCCCACTAGTGCGAACTTTGGTTCACCATTCCGTGCAATCATGCGTTTGTATGTGAAGTTTACTATGCCGAGTCCTCTGTCATGCGTAAAAGTGATTCGGCGGATGGCGCATTGTCAAGCATTCGTTTTACTTTTCGCAGGCTGTCGAAGCAACCACTATGTGCGAGTACTTCTGCCTAATAAGGTGAAAACCAAAGCGGGAGACTTCGAAAATTTGACTCTTCGCCCTCTCCACACTCGTGTACGCTTTTTTCGCTTTCATTGTGCTTTCGTTCATGTCCCAAGTGTCCATCGTTGACTATTCAAGATATCGATATTACCTGCAAAGTACTCACGTATTTAAACACGAACCTGACGCGGCGGTGGAGTGGCGTGTGGTACTTGACTGCTGATCCGCGAGCGCGATCAGATTCCACTTGCGGTAGCCGCATTTTGGGCGGAGTCAAAATCCGAGAGGCCTGTGTGCTTTCGATTTAGGCGCACGTTGAAGAATTCCAGCTGGTGCGAATTTCCTGAGCACACCACTATGGCATTTCTCGTAATTATATCGGTGTTTCGGCAAGTCAAACTCAATAATTGTTATGGAGTTTTACGCGCCGAAACGATAGTACGATTTTGAGAGATGCTGTAGTGGGACAGACCCGGAAAGTAATTGAGCAGCTGATGTTCTTTAACGGACACTCACATCCAAGTACACGGGCCTTTATCGTTAATTCTCCTCTATCAAAGCGCGGCCGCCGTGGTCGGGATTCGATCACGTGACCCTCAAGTCAGCCTATACCATATATACCATCGCGGCCGGTTGCGTGAAGGCTGTAGCATTCATTATATATTGATTCATACTCCAAAACATCCTGCAGTGCATCCTGCAGTGTCCTGCAGTGGACGTAGTCAGGCTGATGATGATGATGATGATGATGATGATGATGACTCCAAAACATGAGTAATGCAAGTACTTTTGTTTCCATCATATTCATATTGCGTCAGGTCGGCGTCGCGGCTATAGGATCAAACCCGTGATGTTCACATTTTGATGGAGTCGAAATCGTAAAGGACCGTGTACTTGGACGACGTCAGTGCATATTAAAGAACACGAGATGGTCGGATATTCCGGAGCCTTCCACTATAGCATCTCTCGTAGTCATATCGTGGTTTTAGGATGTAAAACTCTATATATTATTATAACTAGATGAACATTAGTGGCCCAATTTCTACTTATAGGATGTCGTTATCTCCAGCAGTCGTGTGTACCAATCGTTATAACAAAAGGTTTGATGCCGCGCTTCACTACGTGAACACTATACCTCGCGAACTTAGTATTAGAGGACATCGATTGACATTGACGTGTTGCTGTGCCCTGTTCGTTTAATTCGTGTTTCCGGGTGTTCCTCTGTGGGTCCTTACTCTAACATGCCATCATCACAGACAAAAAAAAATCGCAGTAAAGCCACAAACTGGATGATGATAAGTGCGACGAAGCGTCCATCCGTCCGACCGTGGGTCGATCTGTCTGTGCGTGCGTCTGTCCGTCCGTCTGTCTGTGTGTCCGTCCGTCTAATGAACACTCCAAGTACCGCCATCTAGCATCTTTTCGTCATATATTGGATGGATGGATGGATGGATGGATGGATGGATGGATGGATGGATGGACGGACGGACGGACGGACGGACGGACGGACGGACGGACGGACGGACGGACGGACGGACGGACGTATGTATGTATGTATGTATGTATGTATGTATGTATGTATGTATGTATGTATGTATGTATGTATGTATGTATGTCTAAAGGGTGGTGGCTCTAGCCACCACCCTTTAGATCGGGTGGTGGCTAGAGCCACCAAGCCGTAATACTTATTGAACCAAGAACTAGATTTATTTTTTTCCTTAAATAGTGAGGCTGAGGATTTGTACTTTGCAGCGAAGGGTTCAATTTTTCTCGTGCCTTGACTTTAGCCACCAATCAGATAACCTCTTTCTAGTTATTTCTACCCTCTTAAAGTCTATTTTGCCCTCACTGTCCCTAAACCCCAGTGCTTTGAAAAACTCTGCGCCGTCAACCTGAACTGCAGGGTGAAGCCCTTTACAGAACATTATCAAGTGTTCGGCAGTTTCTTCTTCCTTTCCACACGCACTGCATACCGTGTCTACCCCTTCGTATTTGGCCCGTTATGTCTTTGTTCGCAATAATCCCGTCCTGGCGTCAAACATTACAGAACTACCCCGAGTATTATCATATATCCTTTCCTTGGCTATTTCCTGCTTAAAAGTTTGATAGATCTCTAGTGCGGACTTCTTAATCATGCCAATTCTCCACATATCGGTCTCAGCTTCCTTCACCTTCTTCCTAACCGATAATTCTTTTTGGTTTGGCCCCTGTTGTTTTCCAAGTATTTACCAGCCAATTTTCTGGTTCGCTTCCGCCATTTCGTATCGACATTCTTCATGTACAAGTAGCTGAATACCTTCCTAGCCCAACGCTCCTCCCCCATGTCTCTCAATCGCTTCTCAAATTTTATATTGCTGCTAGCTTCCCTGCCCTCAAATGATGTCCATCCCATATCACCTTGTACTCCCTGATTTGGTGTATTCCCGTGAGCTACTAAGGGAAGCCTACCTATTCCACGTTGCTTAATGTCTAATCTTGCTTGAACTTCTGATCTCATGCACAATACCGCATTGCCGAACGTCAGACAAGGAACCATGACCCATTTCCATATTCCTTTCACAACATCATACCTATTGTAATTACACAGTGCCCTGTTTTTCATTACCCCTGCATTCCTGTTACCTTTAGTCGACACGTATATTTCGTGTTCCCTTAGGTACTCGGCCCCATTGCTTATCCATACGCCCAGATATTTGCACTTATCTGTTATCTCTAGCGCGACCTCCTGTATTCTAAGCTCACTACCTTCATTCTCATTAAAAATCATGACTGCTGATTTTTTCTTACTGAATCTGAAATCTAATCTGTCTCCCTTATTACCGCAAATGTCCACCAATCTCTACAGATCTTCCTTGTTGTCGGCCATTAGAACTATATCATCTGCGTACGTCAATGCTGGTAGTGCCTGTTCAATGAGTTTTCCTTGTTTGACGAAAGAGAGGTTGAAGCCCAGTCCACTTCCCTCTAATTTGGTCTCTAATCCTTGTAGGTACATCATGAATAACAAAGGTGACAGAGGGCACCCCTGCCTAAGCCCCCGTTTCACCTCTGTGGGCTTAGATACCTGTTTTTCCCACTTTATAACAACGTTGTTACTTTTATAGATCTCCTTTAAAAAATTTGTGACTACATTTTCCACGCCTAGTGTGTTTAGTATTCCCCACAATTCCTCTTGAACCACGCTATCGTACGCTCCCTTGCTATCCAAAAATACTAGCCACAGGCGTCTGTGTTCCTTTTTTGCTATTTCGATGCACTGCGTCAGTGAGAAAAGATTGTCTTCCAACCTCCTGTGTTTCCGAAACCCATTCTGCAGTTCCCCCAGCCCCTCCTCATCCTCTATCCATGCCTGCAGTCTTTCCTTTATAATCTGCATCGCCAGCCTGTAGACCACTGATGTCACTGTTATAGGACGGTAGTTGTTTATGTCAGCTTTGTCCCCTTTTCCTTTATAGATAATGCTCATCCTGCTAAGTTTCCATCCATCGGGAACTTCTCCATCGATTATTATTTTGCTCACTGCCTCTTTCAAAGTCTGCTTAGACTTCGGACCTAATGTCTTTATCAGCATAATTGGAATGCCATCTGGG